CCGGCCGTGCGCCGCCGTCGCGCGGCAACGTGGACCCGGCCATTGCCGAAGATCTCGCCTTTATTCGCAAGGCGTGTAACAAGCTCCGTAAGGCCATGACCCAAGCGTCGGACCGGCAGGACTACGGCAAGGCGCAAGAGTACAAAAAGTCGCTCGACCTGCTCGAGTCGCTCGGCCGCAAGCTCGAGGCCGCCTCCACGCCTGACGAGCGGGCGCGAGTCCAGTCCAAGATTGCCGAGGTCCGTTCAGGCGGATGAGTTGTCCACGCGTTCATTCCTTTGCTGGCGTCGCGCTGCGCTCTCAGCTGTCCCTACGTTGCGTCAGTCGCACATGGAGAAACAGTGGCGCGTCCGAGAAGAGCTTCAGCTTCTTCTTTCGCTTAAAGTCTGCGGGCTTCTTATAGATCTCCAGCAGGAGCTCCTCGCCGTCAGCGCCAAGCTCGTCGGGCTCGAGCAGACAGAACGCGCGCGTCGAGAGCTTGGCCTTCTTGGGCTTGTAGTGCTTAAACTCAAAAAGATAGCCGCGTCACGCGGCAGCGTCTCGATGTTGCTCTGGATTTCAACGCGTGCGCCAAAGTACACGTAGCTGGCATCCTTTCGGACCGCTACAGGCGTCTCCTGCGCAGATTCGAGGAGCTTGCCGCGTCCGTCGACCACGGTGATGGTGATCCGCGGCTCGAGGTAGGACTCGGCGTCCGCAAAGCCGATGCGGTCCAGGTAAATCGAGACCTGCGTTCCTCCGCCCGGAAACGGCGCCGGTGGGGGAAGCAAGAAGCCACCAGCCGGCGCCTCGGCTCGCTTCACCGGCCGCGACGCCACCCGTGAGCCGTCGGCTGCCACCCGCTGAGCCTCATATGCCGCAATGTCGACCGGAAAGCCGTCGTCGCCAGGCCGGATTGGCCCGTTTGCAAAAAGCCCGCTGACATACACGTCAAGCACCTGCATCTCTGCCAGCGGGAACTCTCCCTCGATGCTCGCTTCGCCGCCGCCGCCGCTGCCGCCAGCGTCCGTCGGATCCGTGCCCAGCGCCTTGATCCGCATCTGCACGCACAGATAGATCTTGCCCAGCACTGCCCGCGATAGCACATCCACGCATGCCGCATCCTGCATCCGCACAATCCGCTTTCCGGCCCTGTTTCCACTCCAAACACCACAGCCATAAGTCCTTTCCCATGCCGCCCTCTCGCCCACACGAGCACCTCCCTGTCCAGCCACCCCTGCATCTCCCAGCCACCTGGCCACCTACACCGCATATCCCTCTGCGGCCTCCACCACCTGCCCCCAGGCATCCGCCTCCACTGCCTTGTGCAGCCGCTGCGTACGCGAGTCCCCCCCCCCCCTCCCCCCATCTCGGTGTGCAGTGAGTGTGGCTCTCCCGAATGTCCCCCCCCCCCTCCCCCCCCCTCCCCTCCCCCCTCCCCCCCTTCCCCCTCCTTCCCACCCTCACCTCCACCCCGTCTTCGGCCATACCTGGCTCCACTTGGCCTTGGCCTCAAGCAGTGCCTGGCGGGCGTCCATGATTCGAGTGCGAGCAGTGTTCCGTGTTGGTGGCTCGCCCGCGGTGCCAAACACGGTCTGGCCTGGCCTGGCTTGGCTCGACGCCTGGCGCCTCTGCTTTTACATGACCAAAGGCTGGGAGTTGCTGCTGTGGCTAGAGGTAGAGGCCCTCGGGAAGGTTCTCCTTCTTGCGGTAGAGAACGTTCTCCATGGCCTTGAGAAAGTCTGCCTGGGTGACGCGCATGCGCCGCTCGCGAAGGGCAAGGAGGCCCGACTCGGTGCAGATGGCCTTGATGTCGGCGCCGGACATCTTTGCGCGCGACGAGACGATGACGTTAAGGTCGACATCGTCGGCGAGGTTCATGTTGCGGGTCTGGATGCCGAGGATGGAGGCGCGGACCTTTGCGGACGGAAGCGTAAACTCGATCTTGCGGTCAATGCGGCCTGGGCGGATGAGGGCCGGGTCGAGAGCCTTGATGCGGTTGGTGGCCATGATGACCTTGACGTCACCGCGCTCGTCAAACCCGTCGAGCTGGTTGAGCAGCTCGAGCATGGTCCGCTGGATCTCCTTCTCGCCGCCGGACGTAGAGTCGTAGCGCTTGGAGCCGACAGCGTCGATCTCGTCGATAAAGACGATGGACGGCGCGTTGTCCTCGGCGACACGGAAGAGCTCGCGCACGAGCTTGGGACCCTCGCCGAGGTACTTCTGGATGAGCTCCGAGCCGACGACGCGGAGGAAGGTTGCCGAGGTCTGGTTGGCCACGGCGCGAGCGAGAAGCGTCTTGCCGGTTCCGGGCTCGCCGTACAGGATGACGCCCTTAGGCGGCTTGATTCCGATCTCTTCGTACAGCTCAGGGCGGGTGAGCGGGAGCTCGACAGCCTCCTTGATCTCCTGGATCTGCGACTCGAGACCGCCAATGTCGGCGTACGACTCAGTCGGCGCCTTGTCGACCTTCATCACGCTCACCATCGGATCCACCTCGTCCGAGAGAATGCCGACCACCGAGAGCGTCTTGTGGTGGAGGAGGATGGATGCCCCGGGCTCGAGTTCGTCCTTGTCGACAAACGACATCATGTTGACATAGTACTCGGATCCGGCCGACGACGACACAATGGCGTGCTTCTCGTCGATGACCTCCTCCAGCGAGCCCACGCCGAGCGGCGTACCGCGGATCTCCTCCACCTTCTCGCGCTCCTCCTCGTTCTTCTTCTCCGCCGGCTTGAGTCGCTCCTGGTTGGTGATGAACTCCTCCTCCAGCAGCAAGTAGTCCTTCACCCGCTCTAGCTTGAGCAGCCTTAGCTTGCACTTCTTCTGCGGCCGCACTGTCGGCAGCCGAGACGCCGCGTCCGGGCCCTTCCGCCGCTTCCGCCTCTTGCCGATCGACGTCGGCGGCGGCGGCTGGTACCGCTTCTTCCCGTCGTCCTTCTTGTCCCCATCCCCATTGTTTCCTCCCTGATTCGGCCGCTACCTCCCTCCACACACACCACCTTGACTGTTAGCCATGCCCTTCCCCCTCCTCACCTGCCCCATCCCCCTCCGTCACCCCACCCGCTCCGAGTGCGACCTGTCGCCCATTTTTCCCTTTGGCCTCCTCCCCCCTCCCCCTCCCCCCACCCAAGGCGACCCTCCCCACTCCAGCCGCCTTGGCCATCCCCTCCAGCCAACACTCTGTCCACGTACGCCCTGGTTGGCTCCCATGACCCTGTGTGCTTGGTGCGGGTGAGAGTGGAGAGTAACGCTCTTTCTGTGCGGTGCCCTCTGGCATACCGGCAGCAGGATCGGCATTGTGACGAGCGCGCGTCTTCCATTCGTTCTGCTGTGGCCAACGATTATTTCACATGCGGTGAATCGTTCAACGATGATTTCACATGTGATTAATCGTTCAACGATTATGTCACATGCGGTGAATCGTTCAACGATTATGTCATATGCGATTAATCTTTCAACGATTATTTCACATGCGGTTATTCAGGGACAGACGGTCCCCCGTCTCCCCTCTCTCTCCCTCTCCTGCTCTCGACCATCCCCAGCACACCTCTCGTATCACCTTCTTCTTCAACCGACCATGTACGCCATGTGTAGTCCTCTTCCATCCCCCCACGTGCCTCTCCTGACCACCCTGCACTCACCCATACCCATCCTTGCCACAGGGCCGCATCCGCTGACAAGCCGGCCGAGCAGACGGTGTCGTTCAAGGTGACGCTGACCTCGGATCCGTCGCTGCCGTACAAAGTGTTTCGGGTCAAGGAGTCGACTCCGTTTACCGCTGTCACTCGGTTCGCTGCGGAGCAGTTTGGCGTCCCGCCGGCCACATCCGCCATCATTACCCACGACGGCGTCGGCGTCCTGCCCTCGCAGTCTGCTGCCTCTGTCTTCCTCAAGCACGGCGGCGATCTGCGGCTCATTCCGCGCGACCGTGTCGGCTCGCTCTGAGCGGGTGACCCTCAGTCGAGCTTGCGGTCCATCGGCGGCATCGCCTGGCCGTCGTCGTCGTCATCGTCGTCATCGTCATCCATGTCTCCCCAGTCCCATCCACCGCCGCCGTCGTCGTCATCGTCGTCGCCATCGTCGTTGTCGGCTCCAATGGCGTCAAAGAGCGAGAGCGATCGCGAGACTGATGCTGGCGCCAGTGCCGGTGCCGGTGCCGGTGCTGGTGCTGCTGCCGCGACCGACGCCGACGCTGGCATTGCCACGGCCGAAGCCTTGCTCGCGGTGGCTACCGGCGCGGCGGCTTCGTCGTCGTCAGACCACGCGTTCCATCCATCGTCGTCATCTTCCAAGTCGCCCCACCCACCGCCGTCGTCGTCATCGTCGACTGCGGCTGTGGCCGCAGCGAGCGAGAGTGACGGTGCGGGCTGCGACTGAACTGCCGGACGGGCAGCGGCTGGGCGGGCAGCGGCTGGGCGGGCAGCGGCTGGGCGGGCAGCGGCTGGGCGGGCAGCGGCTGGGCGGGCAGCGGCTGGGCGGGCAGCTCCCGGGCGAGCAGTGGGCTTAGCCTGCTTCACCTGGGCTGGCGAGCCGAGCTTCTTGCCCATGCTCTTGAGCGAGGAGAACCATGAGGAGCCCGAGCCCGAGCCCGACGGTTGCGGGTCTGAGCCGATGGCAGTTGCCCCGTTGGCTGCTGCTGCGGCGGCCGAGGCCTCGGCGGCAGCGTCCAAACCTGCAGCGTGGTCCTTGAGGCTAGCGACAACAATGTCGATGGCGGCAAAGGCAGCGTTGCGGACGTTGGCTGCACCGTCGATAGTGAGGACACCGAGCGAGGGCAGAATCTTGGTGGCGTGGATGGTCGGCTCGAAGAGCGGGAGCGAGGCGACCATGGCTTTGACGCCGGCCACACGTGACCACTCAAAGTCGTCCCGCATGGCGCGGGTAAACGCCGGAATGAGCGCCTTGGCCTGCATGCCAGGCGAGAGGTGCGGGGCGATCTTGCCGAGGCAGATGGTGGTGTTGGCGCGGATGCCCGGCGTCTCGTCCTGCTGCAGCCGCGCGAGGTGCTTGAGCACCCGGGAGTCGAGCGTGCTCGTGCTCAGCTTGTCGACCAGGTGCAGCAACGACTTGAGCGTAAGCTTGCGGAGCAGGGCCGATCGGTCGATGAACCCGTTCTCAATGGCGGGAAAGATCTGGGAGTTCACCACCGACACCGGCAGGTGCTTGGCAAAGGAGCCGAGGTTCTCCAGCAGGGACGACCTCACTGCGCGGTCGTTGGCGGAGAACAGCTTGATGACGGCCGGGAGAATGAGCTTGGCAAACTCGTCTTCGTCCAGTCGCCCGCCAATCTTGACCAGCGGCGCGAGGACTGCCGCCGACGGCTCGCCAAACTCGATCGACTGTGCCAGCGCCGGCGCCGCTTTGTACTTGCAAAACGCGAGCGGCAGAGTCTCAACCGCAGCGTCGAGCCGCGCAAGGATCCGCGCCTTGGCCCGGTCGTCCTGCACAGCCAGCTCGTCGAGCGCCAGAGAGAGGCTCACGAACGGGTCCGAGCCAAACACAGGCAGCGCCGCCAGCTGCGCCACCGTCGGCCGCGCCGCTGGCGCGTCCGAAAGCATGGCCCGGTGGACTTTGGCGAGAGCTGGGGGCAGCGCGCGGACTACCTCGCCGCTCAGCAGCGTGTCTGACGACGCCACCTCGGATGCCAGGTCTGCAAAGATGCACCCGATGATGCCGCCGAGGGCAAAGACGTCCGCAGGCGTACCGACCGATCGCCACTCGGCGCGCAGGACCTCGGGCGCGCGGAACGGCGCCAGCGATGGCAGAAAACCCGCGGCAGAAGCCCGCTGCATGGTTCCGCCCAGCTCGGACGGATCAGTGAGTGGGGTGGCGAAAGCCAGGCCGCCGAGGCGGAGCTCCAGGCCGGGCGTGACAAAGACCGAGTCGATGCCGATGCCGCCATGGAGCATGCCTGCGGTGGCGTGCATAAATGAGAGCGCCGATGCCAGCGCATACACGCCCATCAGCTTGCAGGCAGGCGGCAGATCGCCATCGCCGAGGACGGCGGCAAGCGGGCGAACGCGCTCAGTGACAACGATGAGCGACGAGGCCGAGTCAACGACCTCGACAACGGCAAGCATGTGTGGATAGCGAAGACCAGCCAGGCGCCGAGCAGCACGTTCGGCAAGCTCCAGAGCAACAGCACTGCTCGCTTCGCCTTGCTTGTCGGCCATAAAGACGGTGACCTCGGAGCCGTCGGCCTTGGCCCGTCCGGGCGCCACCTTCCACACGCCGTCGCTCCATTCCACCTCTTCCACCGTGTAGGCAAACTTGGACAGCGCCTGGTTTCCCATCTTTTCCAGCCTTGCGGTGGTGGTGGTGGTTGCGGTGGTGGTGGTGGTGGTGGTGGTGGTGGTGTGTGTGGGCGTGTGGGCGTGCTGGTGGTGGGGTGTGGCCGTTTGGTGGAAGGTGCGGATCGGGCACGATTCGGGCACTCAGAGGGGAGGAAAGGGAGGCGGTGATCAGGGGTGGAGCAGGAGCAGAGCCAGCTGTACAGGAGGCCGTCACATTTCGTTCCAATAGACGGCGATGACAGCAGTGGCAGCGATGCCGATGACTACGCCAAAGACAACAAGAGCGAGTGAGGCCTTGCGCTTGGCCGAACCTGTGGCAAAGGCTTTGAGGCCAAACATGCCCGGGAGGATAAAGGCGAGGAGGTTGCCGCATGTGGCGCCGACGAGCGCAAGGACCGCAGAGAGGTTTGGCGCGAGGTAGGCGACACCGTAGGTGATACCGTTGAGAAGAAGAACGACGATGATCCGGAACCAGAGCCGGGTAACCGGCGCAGATGCCCAGACGTGGGTAACAATCAGCCCGAGCGTTGTCTCGCGGAGCGGGAGGAAGACCAGTGGGTAGGTGCAGGCGAGGACAACGGTGAGGGCTACACGACCGAGGTTGACGTAGATGTCCGACGCCGAGTAGTTGTTGAGGAGATCACCGCGGACCTCGGTCCCGTACGATAGGTAGCCGAGGAGGCCAAAGCCGCAGTAAAAGATGCCAGCCCCGGCGATCGCGCTGATCGAGACAGCGGCAAAGCGGGCCGGCGTCGGACGCTCCAGGCTGTCGCGGACGGCAACGACGTTAAACTGAGCAAGAAAGGCTGCCATAAAGATCGGCACGCCAAGGAGGACCCGGACCGAGCCATTGATGACCGAGACCATGACCAGCTCCTTGGGCACAGCAGCAGCGACCGCCGCCGCGCTGGGGTGATTGCTATGTTGGATGACCTTGACGCTCAGCTCGCGTGACATCGCCTGCTGGCCAAAGCGTAGCGCAATGACAAAGAGCAAGTAAACGAGGCAGACGAGCGCAAGGTACGTTGTATGCCTCAGCGGCCGCAACGATGTTGCCAGCGTCAGCGGGAAGATGAGCACCATCATGTACGCCAGGAGCGCGTGCTCGCTCACTGCGGCACCGTTGTAGTCGGTGTAGTGCACGACAACCGGATGCAGCGAGTCGCCGATGAGAATGGCGTACGCGATGATGCCTCCAAGCAGGACGCAGAGCAGCGAGGCCTGGACCGCCACCAGCGCCCGCGTCCCGTAAAAGTAGTACGCAATGTCCGGATACGAGTGCTCTCCCGACGCGTCGCGCGACTCGCCGAGGATGTGGAAGGAGAAGACCGAAAGCATGCCTACAAAGACGATCAACGCCATGCCCAGCCCGAGTCCGGTCGTCATGAACGCGTACGGAATGGCAAGCGCGCCCGCACCCAGACATGTCTGCGCCAGCAGCGCCGCAGCCGTCGGGATAGAGATCGTCGGGCTACTCTCGCACATGCCGCCAGCCTCACATGCCGCCGCCGGCATGTCGCTGTTGAGCGAGTGCAGCGAGGCGTAGTCGTCCGAGCCACACGAGTGGAGCAGCGGCTTGGCCGCCGCAATGGGATCGTCAAAGCCATCGCTCTGGCGATCCGAGTCCGGGATCGACGAGAAGAGGCCCGATCGCAGCGACGAGGCCATGTACTCGGCCGCTCCCGATGACGCATACGGGTTGATCGGCCCCACCATCCACAGGCTGTACTCGGTCTGCCTGCTCGCCGATGGCGTCGACGTGCCGCGACGGACAAGTCCTGTATGCGAGCCAGAACTCAGTGCTTGCAGGCCAGCACTCGATTCCTCTCCGACCGTCCGAAACAGACGAGGACCCGAAGCTGCCATCGACGGAGCCACGCCAGAGGCAGAGGCATCAAAGCCAAAGGGCGCCGCCAGGTTGTCGCCCGTCAGTCGCCGTGGGTACACTGCCTCGTCCCCGCTCACCACCTCGGGCGACCACGTTGCTGTGTAGTCCATGTGAGCGAGAAGGTGCAGTATGTGTGCGTGTGTGTATGTGTGTGTGTATGTGTGTGTATGTGTGTGTGTGTATGTGTGTGTGTGTGTGTGTGTGTGGAGTTGTGGTCAAGTGCGTGCGCGTGCGTGTGTCGAAAGTCGGTCCAAAGTCATTCAGTCGATGGTGAGCTTGCCAGGCTCAGGAGGTAGGCGGGCATGTATGTCCTTCATCCACGCCCGCCGCCCATCCTCTCACAAGCATAAAGCTGGCACGGATCAGTCTGGAGAGATCAAAGCGGTGCTGGGGAGTGTGATCGTGTTGGACGCCGGCCCATCACCACCATTGTCGAACCTGGTACTTGATCTTCTCCCACCTTCACACACATACATACAAACACACGTACAGCAAATCATCCCCCCCCCCCCCCCCCCCTCTACCCATACATACAACTGCAAGCAATGCCATTCCCAAATATTCCATGTGTTCAATGTGTTCAACGAGTGGCCAATGCCCCCCCCCCCCCCCTTCCCCGAACTTCCAACATGATTCGTCCGTCCGTTGGCGCGCCACTCCTCCCCTCCTCCCCTCCCTCTCCCAAACACCACCTTCACATCCGTCTTGGCTCTATGCCTCGTGGCTATACCCCGCGGTATGGGGTGGTCGCCGCACGATTGTCCGCCAACACGCCGTCGTCGGCCCTCCCGCCGCCCAACCCGCGAGCCTATGCCTCGGCGCTCGATGCGCAGATCCGGACGGCACGGACCTCTCCAGAAGCTGTCCGCTCGGGCGGCCGCTCCACTGCTGCTTCTGTCTACGTTCGTGAGCACGAGGCTGCTGTTGTCTCGCGCACGCTACGTGCCCTGCGCGCCCAAAAGGCCGCGGGAGGCGGAGCGATCCATCCGGTCGATGCGCTCAACCCGAGGAAGGCCCAGCTCGAGCACGAGGTCGTCTCGCGGAAGCTCTTTGGTGCACCGGACAGCACCCGGCCGCCGCTGGCTCCTGCCGGCCCGCTATCGCCTGTTCGGCCTTCGCTTGGCGAGCAGCTCGCCCGGGTCGGCCATCGTCACGATGTAGGCCGCCGAAACCGGGGCGCACTCGGCTCGCCCAGTGAGCGCGGACGGCGGCAGGAGCTGGTGGCCTCGCTTGATCCGCTTGCCACCTCGGCTGCCCGCTCACGGACTTCGGGCCATGTGACCTCCAACACCGAGTCGGAGCTCTCGCCGCTCAACAACTCGATGGACGCTGACCATGCTGCGCGGGCGGACGCTGTTGTCGGCGCCCACCGGCGAATCTCGTCGCTCCCGCGCTCGCCGGCGGAGAAGGCCAAGCAAGCTGCTTACCGCCGCACGCTGGAGGCGCAGATGGAGGAGAACCGCCAGCGGAAGGAGGCCGAGGCTCGCCGCCTCCAGGCCGACGATGCCCGCCTCGAGGCAGACATCAACTCGTACATGTCTGCCGGTGACGCTTCAGGTGGGCACTCACCGCTCCGCGGACGGTCAAGCGTAACGCTTGCCGGTGTCGACGCCGGTGGCGTTCCACCGCTCTTTGCTTCGTCGGCCGCCGCCGCCTCGCGCTCGCCGACCAAGGGTGGTGGCGGCTCGCCGCTCCGTGACACCACGTCCGGCCAGGTAGTCTCCAACCTCCGCAACGCCGACTCGCTTATCACTCGTGGTGAAGCGTCCGGCTCCGGCGGCCCGAGCCGGCCGGCCTGGTATGCCTCGCCTGAGCGCCGGGCTGCTCCCGACACCAGCTCGCACCTTGCTCGCCTCATCGAGTCGGAGCAAGCCCATGCCTCGCAAAAGGCCTCACTGTTGAGGACCGAGATCCGCGAGCAGTCGATGCGGGCGTCACGGTTCTCCACCGCTGGCGCCTTTGATGACACCGACGACCAGCGCCGCCGCCGGCAGCGCGAGCGCGAGTCGCAGGCCGAGCTCTTGCAGCAGATTGAGATGAAGCGCCTCGCCAAGGAGCTGGAGAAGGACCGCCGCCGCGAGGAGGATCAGCGTGATCTCGCTCGCATCCAGGCCGAAATACAGGAGATGTACGAACGCGACGTCGAGGAGAAGCAGCTCGCTCGAGTTGCGACCTCGCTCGCGCACGGCGAGCCGCTGCCGCCGAACATGCCCCGCAACAACACGCAGGCGACCGGTGCCGCCGCCACCCCGTCCGCACGCCCATCGTCGTATGCCCAGTTTGAGGCTCTCAATCCGGCTGACAAGGCCCAGGTCCGCGCCGACGCCCAGACCGAGCACCAGGCTGCACTCCGCGCCCAGATCGAGGAGCGTAAGGCCCGCCGCGAGGCCGAGGCCGCGACCGAGGCTGCCGCAGAAGCCCGCGAGTCGGCACGCCTCCAGCGCCAGCTTGCCGACCTGCAGCGCGAAAAGCAGCGCGACGCATCGTACCTGCCAACTGTACAGCGGCCAGCCGAGCAAGAACCGCCCGCGCGGCGCCCGGCTCCGTCATCGCCATCGCCATCGCCGTCGCCGTCGCCATCTCCCGTTCCGCCAGCCCGCCGGCCGGCGCGCGAGCAAGCTGCGGCAGATGCACGCTCCCGCGAGCAAGCCAGCCGCTCGCCCTCGCCCGACTACCGGATGGCGCCACTGATGGCAAGTCCGAATCTGGCCAACGGGCGGGCCCTGGCGGCGGTGCGGGCGCCAGGCGCGGCGCTAGCCGACCCCTGGCGCCCTGGCCGGGCGACGATGAATCTTGACCGGCGTCCGCAGCCTGCACATGCCCGGGCGGGCGCACCGGCCATGCCGCGGCCTAACACCCGTGCTCCGCTGCTTATGGCTCGGTTGGAGGACGCGCAGCGCACCAGGATGCTGGAGGACGAGGCGGCGGCGGCTTCGTCGGCGCAAATGGCACAGCTCCGCTCGCTCCGCTCGCAGCTGAGCAAAGAGCACGCCGAGCGGGCGACGCGATCAGCAGCATCTGTGTCGCGGGCTCGGTACGCGGCGCTTGCGTCGCCGGCCAGCCCGATGGCGCGGCAAGGCTCGCCGAGCGCGTCAAGTCCAGGTTCAGTGAGCGGAGGAGGCAGAGCGCCACTCTCGCCGGTGGCGCGGCGGCACGGCTCGCGGCTGGCGCCGCTGTCACCATCGAGCCCGTCGGCACTCAACGCGCTAGCCAAGCTCCCGCCTGTTGGCTCGCCGGCGCCTGTCCACGACGCGCTAGAGAGCATGCCGGAGACCGGGTTGGGGATAGTTCCTGGCGGGCCGCTCGAGTTTATGCAGCGCGGACTAGAAGAGGACATGGCGCGGTACGGGCTGCTGCTGGGGTATGAGCCGTCAGCCGAGGTACTGAGCCCCGGCGGGGGTGCGACTACGCCTCTTTGAGCACGATGGCGATTTCCTTGCCCATGATGGAGCGGGCCGGGAGCCACGAGCCAATGAGTGTGACGCCGATGGAGAGGACGACGACGACGCAAAAGAGAAGCGTCGGGAACTGGAAGACAAACGGCGACTCGGTAAAGAGGCCCATCTGAAGCGTGAGGGCGACTGCGGTGAGGAGGCCGATGATGGTGCCCATGACCATGGAGGCGAGCGTGAGCGAGAGCGCCTCGTAGATGTACACCCGCAGCGCCTGGGCCGACGAGAGCCCGAGAGCGCGGAGTACGCCGATTTCCCACGAGTTCTCATTGACATTGGCGGTGAACGAGAGGAAAAGGACAAAGAAGCAGAGCAGCGAGGTGATGACCGAGACAATGATGAAGAAGAGCTGGAGCATTTCGGTGGCGATCGACGTCGACTTGATCAGCTCGACGACGTCGATGACTTGGATGAGGTCGTTCTGGATAAAGTTACGCATGCCGTTGACGATGGATTCGCGGTCCTCGGTCGACGCGCCGGTGCTCATGCGGACAATGAGCGAGCCCTTGGGCGCGACGCCGCGCTCCGGCTGCGGGAGCTTGGACTGGAGCGAGGTGAGATTGTATGCCCGCTCGAGCGCCTCCGCATACTGATCAAACCGGATGAGGATGGGGTTGAACGGTGCAAACTGGCGGTACGACGACACGAAAAAGCCTGGGAACTTGCGGACCATGGCCCGGGCCTTGCCCAGCCGCTTGTACGAGACCGTGGCCGACTCGGAGACATCGTAGCGGAGGGTGAGCGCTTGCGGCGTGTCGACATCGAGCGAGACCCGGTCGCGGAGCGACTCGGAGACAATGGTGTCAAAGTACTGGGTGTATGAGAGTTCGAGCTCGGCCGAGCGGTTCACCGCACCGCGGTTGCTGTCATAGCCAGAGCCGAGCGGGAGCGGGACGGAGATGCGGGCCGGCTCGATGGAGAGGCGTGCGGTACCGGCGTGTGTGTAGAGCGAGGCCGCGACGTCGTCCTTGCCGTTGGATGTTTGGGCGTAGTCAAAGCCTTCTGCGACCTCGGTCGGTATGTAGTACTTGGTGTAGGCGGTCTGGAGCCAGTTGGCGTCGATGGCGTGGAGGGGCTGCGAGACGCGTGGAAAGTCGACGATGGACGACATTCGCGACTTGGACATGAGGTCCGAGAGGTCGATGCTCTGGGTGCCAAACGAGAACGAGGCGACGAGCGTGCCTAGATTGTCGTCGAGAAAGTCGCGGAGTGCGTCTTCGTTGAGCATGTGCTCCCAGGCAAACGAGAGGACAGCAATGTCCGATCCAAAGAAGCCGGCAATGAGGTCCTTGATGAGCGCCTCCTGTAGGGCAAAGAGCGAGCCGGCAAAGATGAGAAAGGCAAGCGAGGTGGTGAACATGAGGGCGGTCTTGCGGTTGCGCGACCGATGGCCGCCGAGGTTCTTGCGGATGAGCGGGGCGAGCCGAGTCTCGGTTCCCCACACCATGCTCCAGAGAAAGGCCCACTCGGTGTACGGCTGGAGGACCTGGGCAACCATGGCGAGGCCGAGCACAATGCCGAGCAGGATGCCGTTAAGGATGGTGAGGAGGAGGCCAAAGTCGTTGTAGGTGAACGCGTACGGGATCATGTAGTAGGTGACAAAGCCGACGCCGACAAGCGTCACGGCCAGCGCAGTCTGCCAGCCCGAGAGACCGAGCGACTCGAGCTTGATGACCCGGACCACCGTCTCGGAGTTGGTCTGGTGGTAGACGTCGAGCGCGTTGCGGAGCGTCGACGAGAGAGCCCGCCGGATGGGCACCCAGTTGGCGAGGAGCGGAACAATGAGCCCGATGGCGAGCGAGAGGTAGAGTGGCGTCGGGTTGATCCCGTACCGCGCATCGGTGTCCGAGAACTCCGCAATGAGCCACGCCGGAATGAGGTCGACCACAAACGCCACCGCCCATCCAATGATGATGCCAGGAATTGCAAAGGAGAGCGCTTGGACAACAAGCAGAAAGATGAGCGCGTGCTGGCGCATGCCAAGCGCGCGGAGCATGCCGTACTCGAACGTTTTCTCTTCCACGTTAGAGAGCATGAGCGAGTAGATGAGCAGCGCAGAGAGGAGCGAGATGACAAAGACGACCGAGTTGAAGATTTGGTCGAGGAAGAGCCGGATGATCTCAGTGCCTTCGAGGGCGAGGTAGATGGGCAGTTCGATGTCGACTGACGAGTTGTAGCCAACGAGGCCGTAGATCTCGTTGGCAAAGTACGCCATCTCGGTCTTGAGGCCCTCATCCGTGGTCTTGACGTACGCCGTCTCTCGCGCGCGGTAGTTGGCAGCCACGGTGAGCGCGTAGTCCTCCATGCGAAAGTCTGCGAGAAAGTCGGTAATGGTGTCCACGATGGGGACGGTGAGCCCGGCCTGGGTCTCGAGTGCCTGCAAGCCAAGGACCACCAGCGGGTTGGCGATGAGCTCGCGGATCTGGGCAAGCAGCACCTTTTCAAACTGATGTGAGTCAATGAGGACAACGTTGCCGAGCGCGTCCGGGAACTTGCCGCCGGGCGACTGGATGTCGTCGATGACAGCATAGTCCCACGAGAGGCCGATGTTGGTCGAGTTGTCGCCGTCGGGTGAGGTCGCGCCGGTATCGAGGCCTGAGAGCACATCTAGTCCCGGCACCAGGTCGGCGAGCGAGAGCTGGAGGCCAGCAGCCGCAAGCTGCGCCGCCACAGGGACCGACTGATTGGCGACCGGGCCGAGCAGCCCGTCGAGGACTTGAGGCGTGAGGACCGAGGTGTTGAGGCCGAGCCCGGAGAGGAACGGCAACAGGGTGTTCTGCCCAAAGTCGACTGTGTCGCCGGTATTCACCGTTGTGTTGACATCGACATCAACGTCGCCGGTCTCGACAGCCACGCCGGGAGCGCCAGCAAGGAGGCCGATCGGGTTGTTGAGCAGCTGCGCGAGAAGATCAAGATTAAAGCCGACCGACTCGACGTTGAGTAGCGGGAGGAGCTGGTCGGCCTCGAGCGAGAGCAGGATGCGGTCGCCGCGGTTGGCGCCGAGGCCAAGCGTCCGCAGCAGCGGCGACGACACATGGGTCTCGGCCTCGCCCAATGCACGGTGGTTAAAGTTGCGGCCGATGCCGGCGGCCAGCTCCTTGTGCGAGTCATAGACAACAAAGATGGCCGACGAGACTCGGGTCGGCACGTCGCGGTTGCGCACGCGACCGAGGAGGTACCACCGCGGCACAATCGACGAGACAAGGGCCGACTCGCCGTGTAGATTGCGAAATTCCTCCCACTGCTGCCGTATGTGGGTGAAGTTGACCAACGGCACGCCGTCAGACATGGCCGGGTCGAGCAGCGGTGATTCGCCCGGGCGGGCACTCCGGGCTGAGCTCGTCGGCGTGAGCAGGGCGTCGGTCTCGCCGGCCGAGAGCTCGGCCAGGCGCCAGAAGATGAGTGGCGAGCGTTCGACATTGTTGCGGAGGACAGTGACAAAGAAGACGACCAGCGCCACAGTAAAGACGCCGACCATCCAGTTGCGCTTCTCCTTGCGGGTGGCGGCCCAGAGGTACTTGAGCGCCGTCGCCGCATCGCCCACCAGCGTCTGATTGCCCTCGGACCAGCCCTCCTGAACAGCATGACCCGTATACGCAGGCGGCAGCGAGCGTGAGCTTGGACCAGATGCACTGCTAGACCTCTCCGCCATCTTGACTCTACTGATGCCAGCCATCGGTTCCGGCGGCGTCTTGGGCGACCACGAGCCAGACGACCAGCGCGACGAGGAGGCCATGACCCACGGCACGATGCGGGACGAGGTGCGTGAGGGGGGATTCGAGGCAGAGTGGGTGACTTAGTGTAGAGTGTGGGGAGGGTGGTGGACGTGGAGTGTGTGGCGTGTGGTGTGTGATGAGCGTGTGGGGTGTGTGTGTGTGAGGGCGTGAAGTGGGCTGACGTGATGAGGGTGGGTGGCGGGTGGGGGTTGGGGTGGGGGGTGGGGGGGGGGGGGAGGGGGGGAAGGAAGGTACGGGACGGGTAAGGGAACGGTAA